GGGAGAGCTTCATGAGTGTGTATAAATGTGTTTGTTTGTTTATGTGTGTGTTGTGTAGATGAGAAAACTTTATGTGTGCGTGTGTGTGTGTGTGTTTTGTTCAGATGGGGGAGCTTTGTGTGTGTGTGTGTTATGGGAATGGGGAGCTTTAGGAGTGTGTACATTTGTTTGTGCATTTGTGTGTGTGTTTGTGTTGTGCAGATGGGAGAAGCTTCATTATTGTATGTGTGTGTGTGTGTGTGTGTGTGTGTGTGTGTGTCTATGTGTTTGTGTTGTGCGGATGGAGGAGCTTTATGAGTGTGTGTATAGATGTTTGCCTGTGCGCATATGTGTGTGTGTGTGTGTGTGTGTGTGTATGTTGTGTGGATGGGGGCGGTGTGAGGAAAGATTTGCATGAGGCAGATTAGCATTCTTCACGCCGCCGCTGGAATCTCTCTGCGCCGAGAGCTTTGTGAACATCCTGGCTCTCCTCCCGCCCCTCGCTCCCCTCGCTCTGCTGTTAATGGCGCAGCGCTCAGCAGGCCCTGCCACTCCACATCACCTCCACTCCTCCTGCATGCATTAGTGGGAGCTCGTGGCGTGGCGCAGTGTGATGTCAAACACAGGCCTTTTCTGCAGCCTCCGTCCAGGGTGTTTGTGCGCGTGACGCCGTGTCAGATGTCCAGTCAAGGTTACATGAAGACCTGTGACTCTGCAAACATGAGTGCGATCTGGGATTCAGACGGTTCTAAGTAGGGATGTAGCAATATTGTAAATACCGTCATACCGCAATAGTAATGTTTTTCAATATTACCGTAGGCGCACGACTCAATAAATCTATATTTCTGAGAAAAGTTTGCTCAGGCGAATGAAGCGAACGGGAGGTAGCGGGAACTACAATTCCCATCAGCCCAGGCGTGGCCATCATCCTTTGCGGTCTGTTGTCACTACAGATCCAGTAATGCGGAAATGGAGTGTGCTGCTAGTAGCGGGGAAGAAAAAGAGCTGGAAATGATCGAACCTAAAGCGGGTGTTAAATCGGATGTGTGGAAGCATTTCGGTTTCTTTCTAATAAGATACGAAAAAGGAGAAAAGGTGGCAGACAAAGAGAAAAACAGTATGCAGGCACTGCCAGACTGTGGTGAAATATAAGTCGGGGAATACGACTAATAACAGTCATGGGGACTGCAGAACACAGCACACTTGTTAGATTGATGCAGACATTGACTTGTTCCGTAAACAGACCTCTATCTCACTCATGGCTTGTCCTCTCAAGTGGTGGAAAGACAATGCACAACGTTACCCACTGCTGTCAACCTGGGCTAAATCATATCTCTCTGTCCCAGAAACCTCAGCCCCAAATGAGAGGGTGGTTTCTGTTGCCGGGTACATGCCCAGAGATCCCAGCGTTTACCAGATTATAGTTATATGATCATTCTCCTTAAATAACCCATCTCTATCTGAGTGAGTGAGTGATTAAATGTTGAATGTGATGAGTTTTCATGAATACTAAATTGAAACTTTATTTGTTTTACATGGTTTAATAGTTTTTTTGTTATTAAAATTGAAAAATTGAAGTTCCTGTTTGGAAACGTACAGATAGATGGCTGATTTGTATGTCATTGGTATGTTCAGTGTTAAGGTAAATAAACACTTTTGGCACTTTTTTTCGAGTCTTTTCATTAGTTTTGTTTTTCCTTTAAATTATTTAATAAATACCGTACCGTGCCATTTATACTGAGGTATTATCAAACCGTGAAATTCTGATACCGTTACATCCCTAGTTCTAAGTAAATGCTGGCTTATACTCGACTAGTGCATACAGCGAATGTGACATCTTTAGCCCCTTTCACACAGTGATACCGGTAAATTTCTGGAAAATTTCCGGAACGACTTTACCGGTATATTCAAAAAAGCGCTGTTCACACAGGCGAGGACGTTACGGAAATTTTCCGGAAAAGAACATTCACACATCCATCGCAAAATACCGGTAAATTCTGACATCATTCATTATTAATGAGCTTCAAACCGCTGCGCTTGTATTTGTAAACATTTGACTAAATTACAAACTCTGTGGATGATCAATATTGTGAACAACTTTCGCAGGATCACTTTCGCATGTCGAGATGTTCATAATATGTGCGTGTGCAGGCGCTCACAGGCGCACGCAAAGCTTGAAGGTAAACAAACAACGGCTTATCATAAGCATCTCATCAATGATTATTTACACAGTTGGCATTAAGAAGAACATATAAACGTGATCTGACTAACTTCTAGCAGCTAAATGTGTCTGGAAAAATATTCAAAGGCTTTTATTCTCACAAACCGCGCGGACGTAAATGCGTCTGACTGTTGTGATTGGCTAAAGCAGACGTCTCACGTCAGCACGTTCTAGACGTGCACGCGCTTATTACGGGAATATTCCTTCTGCATTCACACAGCGCAGCATTCCGGCAAATCACCGGTAATGTTACAACTTCTCTTTCCGGAAAATAGCCAGAACGAATTTACCGGTATTTTCAAAAAGGACCTGTTCACACATACAGACCTTTCCGGAAAATTGCCGTCAATTTTCCGGAAAGGTCTGTATGTGTGAAAGGGGCTATTGATTCATTGGCACAAGTTCGATTTGTGTGCACGCATCATTACGGCTGCAGTTGCGCGCGAGGTTTGATTGTGAACAACTTTAAGCCGAGTCTAAACGTGCAAGCACGACACCTTTAAGATATGTTCCTTGAGGGTGTCACGATTTAAATTTGAAATCGAAATCGATCGAAATTTATGCTCAATTTCGATTATCAAATCAAAAAATGGGATCGTCGATGCTGCCACGCCCTCATGTCACGTCAGCTTGGCCATGCTTGTTGAAGTGCTTGTTAAACTGCAAAGACGCAGGAGACCCGTCGACAGAACTTAAACCCTCTCCTTTTTCAATGAAGTCGCCGGTGTGGAAGTATTTTGGATTTCCAGTGAGTTATAGGCGCATCGCGATCCCCGCTCCCGTTGCAAAACCGCTCAAGAGAAGTACACACTCAGGCACTGTTTACACTAATAGGTCTTTGTTTTTAAATGGCATTTTAGAACGACAACGATCCACATCCACACTGGCGTTTAGCATTTATGAGCAGCCCTCCTTCCTCACTACCGCTGAAACGCACATCACGTGACCACACACACACAGATTCACACACAGACTCACACACACTGTCAAGCGCTCGAGACAGCAGGTCCAGGCAGTTAGCGGGTGAGTACACTGCTTCAATCTTTCACTCAATTCTACTTAGTCATTTTAGCGAACACCTCAGATACTGTTGGCTGGTTCCTGTTGGTTGTGCACCTTTTTTTACCGGCGCCATTATAACGTCACAGATCACTGCCTATTCACGAGTCCTGCAGAAAAAGTGATTGACAGGTGGTAATTATGTGTGTATCTTGCCTTTATTCATTTACTGTATGATTTGTTTATCGGTAAAACAAAGACCATGCAGGTCAGGTAGTTTAAACGGTAGGCTACAAATAATTAATTCGTTATTAATTAATTAATTATTCATAATCGAAAATTAAATCGAACAGTGACTTAAGAATCGAAAATGTAATCGAATCGAGGATTTGGAGGATCGTGACACCCTTGGGGCCCTATCATACACCCGGCGCAGTGTGGCGCAAGGCGCGGCACAATAGTCTTTTGGTAGTTTCAGCTTGGCGCAAGAGTGGTTTTGAGGCGTTGCGCTACACTGTTTAAATAGCAAATGCATTAGCGCTCATGTGCGCCCATAGACGTTCTGCTCTAAAAAGGAGGGCGTTCTGAGGCGCACTGCTGGCGCGTTGCTATTTTGAGAAACTATAATAGATTTTTCATTAGACCAAAACAAACCCGGTCTAAACTCCAGCGCAGAGTTGCGCCTCGCTTACACACTGCTTAATACACACAAGAGAGCAATGGACAAATATCTTTACATATGAAAAAAATTAAATATTAAGGATATATATAGGATATAATAAGAATAGATATAGGATATAAATATAAAGGATTAAAATATTACAAAACATATTATTTTCTAGCCTACATAAATATGAAAAATCACTGCTTTTATGTCTTCTTCATCTCGGGAGGCTTTTTCAGTTCATTCATAACAATTTGCTTTTGTATAATGTTATTATTATTAGCAGTATTATTTATTATATCCATATTTATATTTGTTTTATTAAAAACAAGCTTAGATTTGCCCACCTGTCAGGTTTTAGAGCATATGGGGCACAGCATGTGTTTTAGGATATAACTCAGGTTTTTGAGCACATTTTGTTATTATTGTTCATTTATTCGTTTGCTGGAAATTAGAACTGAATTTAGAAATAGTTTTGAAACAAATATTTGCGCTTAACAAACAAAAGTATTTATTTATAGACTAATTGATGTCTGTGCGTAAAGGTTTCCCAATCCAAGAGCGAAAGTGAAAGTAGATCCATTATCTCTCATTCTCACGCAGTAGATGCTCTGTTTAACAGTTTTCTGTTAATAAACTGTGAACTGTTTGCTTGTGAAATGCTCATTTTTTCCACTTAGACTTACTTTGCGTCCTGTAAATAGTGAATGCGCTCTTGGCGTGACGCAGCTGGCTCTTAAAGGTAATGAGAGATGAAGCTCTGATTGGTTTATTCTCAAAACACACCTATAACTCATTAAGAAAATAAACTCAACCCTTATAGACCATGCGCCTTGGCGCAAAGCAGATTTTCCCGTCCTTAAATTAGCAAAATGAATGATTAGCGTTTGCGCCCTGCGTTTTGCGCTCTGCGCATGGACCGTCAAAATAGAGCCCTGAATGTTCAATGGTCAAAACACACATTGCTCATTACACACGCAGGGATGCGCAGCAGCACACAAACATTTTTAAATATGAAAAACGTAAGAATTAAAATGTAAACGGGAGATGAGACACTGTTATTGGTTATGCCCAGAATAGCTATTACTCACCAAAGGGTAATGAATGAGATTTTAACACATGTTGATCACCAATTAAAGAGCCTCTGTTATGGGTTTTTGAAAATGCCCTTCTATGCAATGGTCAAACTTTAATGTAAGATTACCAAAACAAACACTTTTTGTAAGTCTATTAACTGCCACGGATTAACAATTTACTTAAATTTTGAATGCAATTCTTCTGTCGATATATTCCCTACATGTCACAAGTCATACAGCCACACGCATTATGTCCTTTCAGTGGCGTCTAACGGGAACTAAAAATTAATTTGACTGAACATGGTGAGTTATAAGAGAATAGCTGTGAAACACAGCAATTATAAAATGGCACGAATCTCACCGTGGCCTTGGCCGAGCTCTCCTGGAGATCCCACAGCAGCACGTGGTTTTCAGCCAGAGAAATCACACGTTTTCCATCACCCATGGGCTCCCATAACACACTGCAGGACACAGGACAGAGGACATTCACAAGCATTAACCCATGCAGCAAGCTTTCACTAGCGCTCTGTGCATACAGTTGAAGTCAGGAGAATAGTTTCCTTTCCAAATATTTCCCAAAAGATGTTGAACAGATTCAGGAACAATTTTTCACTGTATTTCCTAGAATATTTTTTCTTCTAGAGAAAGTCTCATTTGTTTTATTTCGGCAAGATTTAAAGATTTTTTTAATTTTTTTAAACACTAAAGTCAATATTATTTGCCCCCTTAAGCAATATTTGTTTTGAATTCCCTACAGAACAAACCACTGTTATACAATGACTTGCTTAATTACCCTAATTTTACCCTAATTAACCTAGTTAAGTCTTTAAATGTCACTTTAAGCTTTATCGAGTCAAATATTGTCCCTTTAAACCTCCTCTTCGATGCCACTTTGTGCCAACATCATTACTTGAATTTAGATCATTTGCTATAATCGTATAGTTCTGAATTGTTTGCTTGATTGCTAGTGTTTGTTTGAGAAAGTTGTAATTCCTTACTGTTTAAAGACCTTGGTCCCTATCATACACCTGGTGCAATGTGGCGCAAGACGTGGCGCAATAGTCTTTTGCTACTTTAATCTCGGCACAAGGGTCATTTTGAGGTGTTGCGCTACGCTGTTTAAATAGCAAATGCATTTGCGCTCATATGTGCGCCCATAGACGCTCTGGTCTAACAAAGCAGGCGTGTTTCGGCGCGTTGCTATTTTGAGAAACTGTAAATAGTCTGATCTTTAGACCAGAACAAAGTCGGTCTATTGTCTGGCGCAAAGTGCGCCTGGCTTACACACTACACACAAGATGCAATATGCAAATATCTTTACATATGAAAAAGATATAATATATTAATGATATATATAATAAGGATAAAAACCGGATATAAATTTAAATGATTAAAATATTACAAAACATTAATTTCTAGCCTACATGAAGATTTAAAAATCACTGCTTTTATGTCTTCTTCATCTCGGGAGTCTTTTTCAGTTCATTCATAAAAATTTGCTTTTGTATAATGTTATTATTATTAGCAGTATTATTTATTATATCCATATTTATATTTGTTTTATTAAAACAAGCTTAGATTTGCCCACCTGTCAGGTTTTAGACCATATGGGGCATGGCATGTGTATTTGGAAATAACTCAGTATTTTGAGCACACTTTGTTATTATTGTTTATTTATTCGTTTGCTGGAAATTAGAACTGAATTTAGAAATAGTTTTGAAACGAATATTTGCGCTTAACAAACAAAATTAATTATTTATAGACTAATTGATGTCTGTGCGTAAAGGTTTCCCTATCCAAGAGAGCAAAAGCGAAAGTGAAGTTACTTTACATCAAAATGCGCTTATGGCACGACGCAGCTGACTCTTAAAGGGAATGGGAGATGAGACTCTGATTGGTTTATTCTCAAAACACACCTATAACTCATTAAGAAAATAAACTCAACCCTTTTAGACCATGCGCCACGGCGCAAAGCAGATTTTCCCGTCCTTAAATTAGCAAAACGCTATCTGACACGCCCTGAAAGCGTTTGCGCCCTGCGTTTTGCGCTCTGCGTATGGACTGTCAAAACAGAGCCCCTTGATTAAGTATTGCAATTCTGGATTAAACGTTTTGGAAAATTTGTATAAATATTGTATATACTTTCTTTTTGTCACTTTAAGAGAAGTAGAGGACTTGACACCATTATGTTTCCAATCTATTTGTATTGTTTATTTGTAAGGAAGTTACAAGGTCATTTGATCAACAGTTAAAATGACAATTTTTACCTCCTCCCAACAGGGAAAACCAGCAACAATCAAGAATGAAGGATTATATGCTCTCAAGGCTTTGCCCTCAAAAATGTGATTATAATGAAAGTCAATGGGGCAAAAACAGTCCCAAACATCTCCTAATGGTAGTCAATTTACCCAGGGTGTTTAACATATGTGCCAAAATAAGATTTGTCACAAAAAATCCTCCCATTTGATGAAACACAGACAACGTCGTGGCCAAATGAAGACTCAAAATCACCCTAGAGTGGATGAAAACATCCCCAACAACACACAAGGGTTAAGTCATTTAGTTATTTAACATAAGGTGTCTGCATGCATTACAAAGTCTTGGCTGCTTAGGAAGAGGATACAGATACTCGACTGGCCTGTCTGCAGTCCCGACTGGTCTCCAATAGAGAATGTGTGGTGCATTTTAAAGTGCAAAATGCGACAACAAAAACCCAGTACTGTTGCCCACCTTAAGTCTTGCTTGCAGGAAGAATGGGACAAAATTACACCTGAAACTCTTCATCACTTGCTGTCTTCAGTCCCTAAATGTCTTTTAAGTGTTGTGAAAAGCAACGGCAATGCTTTACTGTTCACACATTCAAGAACCAAATTTGGGATACGGGTTTATTTCGAAAAAAAAAAACTATACAAATGATGTGGAACACATTAAATAACGTTGGCTTAACGTTATTAAATAAGTTAATTTAGATAAGTTAATTTAGAAATCACTACTGTCTTTATTTATTCACTTAAACATAAGCACATAAGCCTCACAACACTCGTATTTGGCTTTTAGTTGCTTTAATTCATTAGAAAACATGTAAACATGTTGGATTATCAGAGTGCCAATGGAAGGGCGGTGTGGTAAGAAGTAATGGTAAATGACTCGCGTTTTGGTGTGAGGGAGAAGCAAGGTAAAGTGAACCCATGTGCAGCAAAAGCCTACAATAGAAAAGGCATGCGAGGATCGAACGTCACGGAGATTACTCCATCATTACTGCAAGTATTGACTGACCTACATAACACAGTGTGCTTGGGTTTCTTGGATTGATCCGGCAGCGGTGGCTCTGATAAGCCATCATACGGCCATTAGCCTGTCTGCGCACAAACGGACACACAGCGCTCAACGGGCATCGATTAAGAGGCGTCCGCTAGCTCCCAAAATGAAGCGATTCTCTTCTGCTAGCCGCAAAACAACATGAAAGGTGACAACAAAAGTCTTTTTCGTTATTTTCAGGGGGTACATTTTACATTGATATTTGGTCTGTTCTCTTCAGGGGAGCTTAAATTGGTGTGTTTTCAAAACAGGCACACGTTTGAGAAGGAGAGGGCTGAGAAGGTTTTACTGTTACTGCAGTTGGGGTGCATCTCAAATCAGTTGTGAATTAAAATCCTGAAGTTGTGAATCAGTTAAGCCTTCTTTCCACTGCACACGACAAGCGACAAGCGACAGACTGGAAGTCATTCATTTCCAATGGAGAGTAGTCTGGGAGCTGCGTGGAGTTCTGGTCATCTCCGTATGCGGAAAATTTGGATCCGAATTGAGCTGCGGATCCGTTGATATATTTGAACTCCTGCGACTAGACCGTATGCGACCGGCCGACCCGATGTGATGTATTCCAGTGTTGTACAAGCAGTCTATATTAAAAAAAACTTTCTGTTCTTAAATGTAAGTAAGAAAGTATTAAAAATATATCTTTAATGTTGTCTCCACATTCCCTCCAATATTTTAGCGGTCTATGAGTTTCTAGTAATCATTTATTCATTAAACCATGTAAACGCACAGAGAACAAAATCTCTTGCTTTTGCACTCCTTTATTTTGGACACTGTGAATCAGCTTCTCTCCCATGGGGCACGACAACACTAAATGAATTAATGAATGAATGAAAAAATAAGTTAATTAATTAAACACTGTGCGACTGCCACAAGGGGGCGTATTCCGACAGTCGTGTCCAAATGTCGCGTGCAGTGGAAAGGCGGCTTTAGGGATGCACGATAAATTTGCGGCTATATTTTTAATCGGCCGATAAATGCTATTTTTAATGTTATCATTATCGGTCTGATGTCAAAATTAGGCCGGTATCTTTGAGCCGGTATCTTTGAATGAATGAATGAATGAATGAATGAATGAATGAAAACAAAATTAAATAAGTGAATTAATTGGTGTTTGTGTGCATTCTAAGACGAATGAATGAATGAATGAATGAATGAATGAATGAATGAAAAAAATTAGTTAATTAGTGTTTGTGTGTTTTCTAAGAAAAATGAATAAATAAATGAATGAATGAATGAATAAATGAAAGAAAAAATAAGGTAATTAATTAGTGTTTGTGTGCATTCTAAGACAAATGAATGAATGAATGAATGAATGAATGAATGAATGAATGAATGAAAAAATAAGTTAATTAGTGTTTGTGTGTTTTCTAAGAAAAATGAAAAATGAATGAATGAATGAATGA